ATATAAAGTATGACAACGGTAAGCAGTGCAAGTATAGTATACAAATATATAGATATTAATTGAATGATGATAAACATTGTGGAACAATGATGAAAAATGTGAATGGAAGTGGCGACGTAAAACTGACACAAAACAACAACACACTTTTGCCGAGCCAATGGAGAGTTTCATCCCCAGCACGGGGTAAAACCCACCAATGAGCGCTCAGCTCGAGATACCAGCAAGTCGTTTCCCATCAAGCATTTCGCTTCCGCAGCCCAGGGAGAGAAACTGCGCCGCCTCGCTCTCAAGTCTGCGGGCGTCTTTGTCCCGCGAGATTTCAACGTCTCATGTAGGCGAGCCTCCAGAGCAAGTCGGACAAAATGACTAACCATCATGCAACGCACGAGCAAGACGTTGATCGCAATTGCGCAGGTCTGCGCAGGTCTCGCTTGTCTCAAACAAGCCTAATGGTTCGGACGTCACATGTCACGTGATTTGAAGCAGTTGCTGCTTCTGACGTCATATGTCACGTGATTTGAAGCAAGCTTCGAATCACTGCTTCTATGGAATAGGAAGTCCAGGGTTGAAGCTCCGTTCGAAGATTCAGTGTCAAACTGCCATCACTAGCGACAGTATGTCACCCAGTTTTTCAAGAAAAAAGGTGGGTGTGTGGTCCATGAGTGGTGGAAATGAGTCTGTTAGCTAGGTTATGGCTAGAAAGGATCCGTCTTGTGTAAAACTCTCGCGAGAGTTTGCAAGTCACGTGGCTGAATGTTTACGTTTGGCAGGCAGCCTTTCAGTTACGATCGTTAACATCAGTGGGCCACAGCAAATGATGGTGAGAAGCTAAACTATCTATTAATTATGTCAATTACAGGGAGTGTGATTGTTGAAATAGGGTGTTAGCGGTCTTGCTGTTCAAAGAAGAATGACAACACTGTAGATCACCAACACTATGGTTTATTTTTTATTCACAGGCAAGTCAACGTTGTCGCAGTAAAAGTCCCAAGATAGCTCCTGGTGCAATCAAATGTTCCCTTTCAGTGTTTTACTATTATGTCTGATGTTTCTCTATTAATATTGCTGCTGCATTAATGTGTATGTTGCATGTTACTGCTGTAGATGTGTTTCCGAGCCGCTCCGATTACAACGAGAGTTACAACGAGAACGTGACGTCATATTTACACAAGACGGATCCTTTCTAGCCATAACCTGTTAGCTAAGCGTCCATTGTAAATAATACTTTTTATGTTTTTTTTTGTACTAAGCTGACATTAAGTACTGTTAATATCTATAAAGAAAATGCAGAGGTTTTTAATTTCACTGCTCTTTTAGCTGACATTTAACAAATGCAGGTAGATTTTTAGCAGCTATTCATACTAAATCATTTGTCCCTCCCCCTGGTGCCAGGACCAACAGATCCATCTCTAGGCTCAGCAGCCCTGTCCCCCCAGAATGCTGAACCTGAACCAGCTTTTCTCCCAACTGAAGGAGGTGAGCAGCATTGTGTTGAATTACATGCCACTTAACATATCTGAAGGGAGACTGGAATACAATATATATATATATATATATGTGTCAGAATGTTCCATTCAAAAATGTTATTATTAAAAAGGCATTTACACCATAAAAGATGACTATTGAGATCTATTGTCAGGAATGTTAGTCTTATATGTATGGCCAGAGGGCAGGACCTATAAACACATTTACTACCCAATAGCATTGTGAGGCTGAACAAAAGGACCTTTTGACTATGTAAATGTAGTCTTTTAAAAAAACAAAAACATTTACTGACTTTTTTGGATAGCTTAAAGTAATGTTGTAAAATTACAACCGGGGGCCTTACAGGGTTAAGGGCTATTGTTTATTGTTATTTACTTTAAGATGTTTATTCTTAACCAATCATTTAATTTAAAAACTCTTATTTAAATGATGTGTGTGTGTCTCTGTATTCCTGATGATACACTGAGAGAATGAGCTCATAGGGCTGCTGATCACCATAAGCTAAACAATCTGTATATTGCATTACATTTGTATAATGTAAGCTTCGTTGATACTTTGCCTGCGGGAATAGGAAAAAAATAGTTAGATATACTGAATATTATTTGATCTATTCCACCACTAGCTTAATCCCAAATAATGTAGAGGTGTGTTGTAGGTGCCTTAAATAACCCCTTATTTTCTAGTGAGATGTATTTTTATGTTCATATAATAGTGATTTCAATGCCACCCCAAAATGATCACTGGTTCCATCCTGGCCACCCCACTGAAAATGTCCTGGCTCTGCCACTGTCCATGGTACAGTCAGAGATATCCACTCTGCACCTTATCTGGCCCCCATCTCTCCTTCAGAGAAGAACCAAGGCATTCCACAGTGCACGGGACATTGTGTGTTCCCGCCATGAGCAGGATGCCAGGAATTCCGCCGGTGTCCCACTCGAGTCATAACTTCATCTTCCCCAGCGGGACCACCTCCGAGCTGTCAGCCCACAGCCCCCCCCCCCCCGAGCAATGTGAGCTGCTCCCAAAACAATGTTGATAACATGAAACTTAGGAGCTGCCAAGACTTTTAATAACATACCTGATAGATCCATTTCAGGACCATGTCTCACAAACACTGTGTGTGTGTGTGTGTGTGTGTGTGTGTGTGTGTGTGTGTGTGTGTGTGTGTGTGTGTGTGTGTGTGTGTGTGTGTGTGTGTGTGTGTGTGTGTGTGTGTGTGTGTGTGTGTGTGTGTGTGTGTGTGTGTGTGTGTGTGTGTGTGTGTGTGTGTGTGTGTGTGTGTGTGTGTGTGTGTGTGTGTGTGTGTGTGTGTGTGTGTGTGTGCGTGCGTGCGCGCGTGTGGACGGACACATCACACTGAGGCAGGTTATTAAGTGCTGATCCAACCAGTAATTAAATGCTAAAGGTTAATTGGGGAGGTTTGACCTCCAGGGCGCTGCATAACATAGACTCACTGATATCTACTACTGTACGTCGCAGAGGGAAAGCCTGTCCACTGATGCATTCATATCTTATATACTATAGAAGCCCACTGATTTGACTTTAAAAAGTTACAAATATACCTGTACAGCTACACTGCCATATCATTCATTAATGGAGCTCCTCCTGCTGCGTGTACAGTACAGCACACTGCAAATAACCCATCCTAGTACTGGGAGCAGTGGGGGGGGGGGGTCCGTGCCTTGCTCAAATTCACCACGGCAGTCCACACTCCTTTTTTAAGTCTGGTCTGGGACTTGAACCAGCGAACCTACAGCATCCCTACTGAGCCACTGGATCCTAGGGTCCTCTGGAGGTGAGGCCCACTGGAAATCTGCCTCACTTTAACTGTGAAGGATTGAAGTGGTCAGAAGGTCGAACAGTGTGGTTTTATCTGGGGAGTTCAGGAGTGCAGAGCCACATTTGTACTTTGTTGTATATTTCCAGATCCATTTACTCAAGTACTGTACTTAAGTAACATTATGAGATGATTGTGCTTTAGTTGAGTACTTCCATCTTATGCTACTTTATACTTCTACTCCACTACATTTAAAAGGGAAATAATGTTATTTTACTCCACTACCTTTAATCAACAGCTTTATCTACATTTAACAAAATGCATCTCTAAAATGTAACTAGTGGACTAACTCTTAAAGTCACAAAAGATTAAAATAATTTAAATATTTTTAGGGCTGTCAGTCGATTAAAATATTTAATCGCGATTAATCGCATGATTGTCCATAGTTAATCGCGATTAATCGCAAATTAATCGCACATTTTTTATCTGTTCTAAATGTACCTTAGAGGGATATTTTTCAAGTTTTTAATACTCTTATCAACATATGAGTGGACAACTATGCTTTATATGTTTGTTTATTATCATTTGAACAATGACAAATATTCTCATGAATATTAAACACAACAACCTCTGAACATTACAAATATTCGCCTCAATTCAACCTAGAACCTCTCTCATACAATAATACAATACTGTGTGTGTGTGTGTGTGTGTGTGTGTGTGTGTGTGTGTGTGTGTGTGTGTGTGTGTGTGTGTGTGTGTGTGTGTGTGTGTGTGTGTGTGTGTGTGTGTGTGTGTGTGTGTGTGTGTGTGTGTGTGTGTGAGAATGTGGAGACACTGTGATGGATCGTTGGAGCTATGTGCAGCTCAAGGCATATATGCCTGTGTGTATGAGCTGTGTTGCGCGCACTATCCGTGCTGAGTGTGCTGTCTGGCTACCTGCATAAAGTCAAGTGCTCGGCGCAGTTGTCGGCGAAATGTCGCTCCTCTGTTTTCATTGAAACAGCTCCTTATATCCGTTAGCTCAGCTAGCTAGCACCAGATGCTAACAACAACACGTAAGGTGTGCTTCGCTCGCACCACACATACACACACCCTCCCGGTCCTCCCGATGGCCAGTCCGGGCCTGCCGGTGAGCGTGGAAGTGTGGTCTGCCACAAGCGGGCAGCAGGAGCGGGGCTGTCAGCATCAGCTTGTAGATGGTATTTTAAACTCGATGCGCTCTGAAACTACGGCGGCCGAGGACAAAAAATACACATGCGTTAATCGCGTTAAAATAATTAGTGGCGTTAATTTTTTTTTGTGTTAACGCGTTATTAACGCGTTAACTTGACAGCCCTAAATATTTTACATAAAGTCAATAATATAACATTATAAACACACATAAAGGCAATTGTTCTGCCCAATGACTACTTTTACTTCTTCATTTAAGTTCATTGAGCTGATAATACTTTTGTGCTTTTACTTTAGTAAGATTTTGAATTCAGATATTTTGACAATAATATATTGCTACTTTTTCTCAAGTAAAGCATCTGAATACTTCTTCCAACACTGTACATTTCCATAATCTACGACCCAACAATTACTCTGACCAGGTGCTCTATTTCCTTCCAATATAATACATAAACATAATACTGTACATCCGCTGCCGACCAAGTTTGAATACACATTTGTTCAAAAGCACACTGAAGGACAGAACTGTTCTGAAACAAACAATGTCAAACTGCAGACAGAATACCTGTCCTGGTGGATAGGAGGGGGTGCCGGCCGACCTCGTGGATGGTGGACAGGTCGGACAGGGTCCCGCTGGGGGACAGGCACTCACTCCTGGAGGGTCTCTTGTGAGGGTCCTGGAACGCCAGCTCTGCTGCTCCACAGCTGCAGTGCTGCTGGAAGAAGTCCTGCAGGAAGAACACCAGATGCATATCACCATATTCTTCATTTAGCATTTTATATTGTTAATCTATTGATTTCAATTTGATATGCTTTTGGCATTATCGTTGTTATTTGTTTAACCGTGTGAATAGCAGCTAAGGCAGCAAAACTGACCTGTGCTTTGATAGCTATGCATTCATATTTTCCTCATTATTTAAAAAAATCAGAGCATCGATCTAATTGAGGTTTACATCGTTCAGCTTAGTTTGAAAACAGTGAAGAACAGTTTGTGCTTTACAGCATTAAAACATTGCATTGCATTGCTAACTTTACCAGTGGTCTAGTTACTACATGAATCCTACTGTCACACATACAGTGTCTGCGTGTCAAAAATGTGTTTAATTTAATTTGCAACAGTGATCTCTCTCTCTCTCTCTCTCTCTCTCTCTCTCTCTCTCTCTCTCTCTCTCTCTATCTCTCTCTCTTCTCTATCTCTCTCTCTCTCTCTCTTCTCTCTCTCTCTCTCTCTCTCTCTCTCTCTCTCTCTCTCTCTCTCTCTCTCTCCTCCTCTCTCTCTCTCTCTCTCTCTCTCTCTCTCTCTCTCTTTTTCCTGTTCACACCGCAGCGGGCCGGCTCTTTCCCCAAAAACCGGTTCTTATCAAGCACCAAATAGGATAGCAACAAGTAGTCAAGATAGTCAGTTTAGCTTCGGTTGCTATGCTAACATCACCCATTTTATACCAGAGAAACTTTCATAACAGCGTTGTGATGCCAAACAGCGGGCAGCACTGCAGCGGTCTGTAAATGCAGCTGAAACACATTAATAAACAATGAACCACGGCACTCTGGAGATAGTATAAGGTTGGAAAAGTAGTTATTTAATTTAATCTGGCTTCGTATGATTAAAAGTAACACGATCATCGACCCGACGCAGTCCCCCATTGTTGTTGTTGTGAGCGCCGTTGGGGAGAAAATCAGCGACGTAAGCGGTGACGTCATGACGCAGCAGCGGCAGCACCAGTTGGGCTCTGGGCGGTGTGAACAAAACGGGGGCTGGAAAAAAAAAACGGTTCCGAACCAGAAAAGCTCTAGCACGGAGCTAGAACGGGAACCGCGTTGGTGTGAAAGGGGCATGACAGACAGCAATGCTACATACAATATTTATATGACATTTGGAAGGTCTATGCTATTCTATAGCTTAAAGGTGGGGTAGGTAAGTTTGAGAAACCGGCTCGAGATACACTTTTTGTTATATTCCATGGAATGCTCTTAACATCCCGATAGCAATGAATATCTTAAGTGCTTTGACAAAAAATCCATAAAAAAATATCATCTGTGGAAGCCGTAGCACTGTAAAAAGCACGACCAATCATTTTAGCCGGCCCAGCTAAAATAACTGGATGGCCTACCTGCCTGTCAGCCTTCCATCTGTGCACAAACTTATCTCGTGCCCTCATTGGTCATGTGCGCGTTCGTGTGTGTTGGAGGAGGGGCTTTGTAAGGAAGTGGCAGATTTTTTCTGGCTGTGTATTTTCAAATTTTAGCGATCTCGAGTTGGTTTCTCCAAAATTACCTACCCCACCTTTAATAGAGAACCGCAGTGACACGTCCTAAAACCCGGAAGTAAGTTAGCATTTTTACCACGTCCGGTTCCTTCGACAAAAAGCAATGCAATTTCTCCATAGGATTTTGGAAAATAGCTCGAAATAAGGTCTGTGTTTGACACAAATTGAAGAGACGGATCACGTTTTGTTCTACGACATTAAATACATCAGCAGTGACCCCGCTGATGATTTTTGAAGAGTTTACGTGTCTGAAAAGCGATGGTTGTTAACAAGTGGCTGAATAGGACTACAGAAGTTGTCCAGGCCGTTTTACGTCATTACACCGAACACGTAAAACACTCCCGCTAAGTTTGTTTGCCCTGTTCTGCTTGAAAGCAAGTACCTGCCTCCTGCAAACTGTTCAAACAAACGCTTCAACTTGTACCATTTAGAATCTGTATGTTTGAATATGGATCTTAAGTTGGCGAAGCAGCGACCCTTCGTTTATAGCATAACGTTAGCATTTTGCTTCTGGCGACTAGATTTATGATTCGAAAATTATAAAAGTAGGGTAGACATGTGGATATTATCTGGCTGAACAAAACGTGATCCGTCTCTTAAATGTGTGTCAACCTTATTTCGAGCTATTTTCCAAAATCCTATGGAGAAATTGCATTGCGTTTTTGATGAAGGAACCGGAAGGAGTTTACTTCCGGGTTTTAGGACGCGTCACTGCGGTTCTCTATAATGTTGGCACTGATTCCCACACTCTCTTCATCCAGGTTATTTCAACACATGCTGAGTCAGCAGTGCTGGATTGTAGAATTGTAGAATGCAGTGTAGAATTCAACAGACACAGATATTGCACCAATCAAATTACAGTATTGAACACACAACACTTTTAAAATACTGTATGTGATATTTGGTACTCTCATTCAGGATAATGATAAACCAGAGCGATTAAATGATGCTAGATACGTTTTCACATATCAGAACTTTGAAGATAAAATGTAAAGGTTAAACTAAATTGAAAAGAATGATTCAAACATTTAAAACACAAGATTTGTCTAATTGCTTCTCTTTTCAAATGTAATATTACAAATCTGTTCCAAAGTTTTAAAACTTTGACTAAAATCTGTACTATACTGGGATTTTCAACATGATTTGTGATCAGACAGACAATTATACATCAGAAATACAATCCTTGCCCATAACCCCCCCGCCCCCCCAGACAGCAGAATAAGAGTCCCACCTCTCTGGTCCTCGCCCCCCGGCCGCCCCTCTGCAGGCTGCTGATGTGCCTCTGCAGACGGAGGTTGGTCTCCTGCAGCTGGCCCATCTTCTCCATCAGCTGGCAGATGTGCTCCAGGTAACCCAGGCCGGAGCTCAGAGGGCTGGGACTGGCCTGCTGGCCCCAGACACACAGAGGGGGGGCAGGTTAGTCAGGATTACAGCAGGAAGCTGATAGGAGATTTGGAATTTTTCAGGAAAAAAGATCCTCTCTCTATTGGTCCTGATCCACCTACTTAAAAAACCTGTCTGAAAATGAGCTGATCAGATTTTGCCACTTTGTGATGTCACAATGTTTTTTGGGTTGGGAAACCATTAGCCCATAACCAACCAAGGTAACCCCCGCCCACCTTATCACCTGAATCATTGTACATCATTGTATTATCAGACATTGATCATGGCCAAGTTAACATTAAGTCATTTTGGATTACATATTGCTTTCTTTGAATCAAAAAGGAAGTGGTTTAATTTAATGATGGTTTAACTCAGACAATCAGCATTTTCTGTTTCTGTAATTAGCTTAATTTAATTTCCGTAATGAAGAGTTACAGTACTTATACTTGCAAAGGATGGAATAGGAAAAAAGTCTGATAACTTAAAAAGAAAAGAAAACGATAATATTGTGAGTTGGTAAAAAGTTCACTGGAGCCAGAAGATTTTGTGTTTAACTTGACTTTGAAATGAGGATTAATTATATAAACATTTTACAAAATGATATGATAAACTGTAGAACTTTGTCAAGGTTTAACAATCATCTTAAAACTGCTTTCAAAGAACCACATTTTCAGGATGAGAATATTCAGGGTCATTTCTGACATAATTGTCAGACTCACTTACATCTTGAATATTCTTTGACAGATTTTCAGATGTCTTATTTTCCACATGGTAGAAAAGGTTTTATAACACAACCAACACACATTGAAGTAATACAAAGGGTTTGCTGCATAACTTAGATCCCATAATGTCATGAGCCAGGAGCTGCAGTTTTTCAGCAATGTAAAAAAGAAAACAAGTTTTTTTTAGCAAATATTTATCCAATGATCAACATTCCTAAAAGTATCCTGACAAAAGCAGGATGTGAGCTCAGGTCGGGGTCTGTCCCCCTCTTTCCTGTGCCACGGACACTGGAGCCCCAGTCAGCTAGCTGGGATGGAAACACAGTGGAACAATGGGTCTGAGGCTGGAGGACTGACATCACTTCCTGTGAGGATCCTCTGGGGATCAGAGGCTCTTGACCATGGACACTTTCATCTGCATTCTTCTTTCAATGCGTCATAAAAAATAAAAGGTTCATCATACTCTGATGTCCTGCCAACATCTCCTCTAAGCAACATTTTAGATACAGCTAACGGGCTGATTATGCTTAAAATGTGTTTTGATGTTTTGAGTATGATTGAGTATTTTAATGCTGCACTCATCATTATTCATTGAAATGAACAATGGGTTATTATGATTAAATGTCTAAGGTCACATGATATTCCAGCTCTGCAGTCCTCCTCAGCTCTTCTGAGCGCTTGAGCATCTTTTTAAAGGTTGATTTGGTTTTACGACCTCAACATTCTCTGCTTCATCATCCCAATACATTTTGACACAAAATGCTTCAATCAGGTTCAAAGGGATAAAGTGATATTCATCAGATGGATTACTCATCTCTTTTCAAGTCAACACACCCCTGGTGGTTTTTGGAGCCTAATTAAGATAAGAAAGGGTATTCCTTCCAGGAGATGACCCTCACTTCTTCAGTGAGGCGGGGGGGGGGGGGGGGGGGGAAGGGGGTTGTCTGTAGCCCTAACCAATCAGACACGCTATCAGGGCTGGGCTGATCTTATCCTCGGCCCACAGAGACCTCTTGATCCACAGCCGGGAAAAGAGGGTGAGATTCAGGAATGCCCTCTTCTGCGTGCGTAAAAATTGGAAAGCACATGCAAACAAACACACATCCTGCTGCACTTCCTCTGAGCTTCCTCTGTCAAAAGCCAATAACGTCTCACACAGCGAGCAGACTGAGGCACCCAGGATGAAAGCTTCATGTCCAACACAACAAATACAGCCAGATCGTCCAATAATGAGCAGGAATTTTCTCTGATGTAACCATCAGTGGACGATGCCACATCAGGAATCCCTACTCAAAACGTCTTATTTTTGCTGTTTTTTAAATGTATTTCCAAAAGTGTTTAGATGTATGCCTATCCGATAAGGTATCAGGAATCCATAGATTGTTCACTGAGGCATGGTTTAAATGAATACCCTACTTTTTTTGTTAGTTTTTTTATCAAAAGGTTTAGAAGATAGAATTGGGGAGGGATGAAACCCTCTTTAATGGTCACACATGCAGAGCACACAGCACACACAGTGAAATTTGGCCTCTGCATTTAACCCATCCTAGTACCAGTAGTCTAGCACCAGGAGTCTAGCACCAGGAGTCTAGTACTAGGAGCAGTGGGCAGCTATTGCACAGCGCCCGGGGAGCAATCGGAGTGGGGGAGTGTCCGGTGCCTTGCTCAAGGGCACCACGGCAGGGCAGGAGATTAACTGGGACCTCCCCAAGTAGCAGTCCACACTCCATATTTTCGGTCTGGTCGGGGACTTGAACCGGCGACCCTACAGCTCCCAGTCCAAGCCCCTACTGACTGAGCCACTGCCGGACGGTGAACATTTAAGTAATATTTGCTTTTATGCTTAAAATGTTTCCTCTTTCACATGTTAACTAAAGAAAGATCAACAATAAAATCCCAGATCTGTGGGACCTGAGGCTCCCTCTGACCCTCTTGTGAGTGTTTCAGTATCTCTGCTGAATCCAAATGACGTTCCTATCATGACCGTGTTGGAAAAGAATGAAGCACCAGATGTGCGGAGCCTGCAGATAGGGAGGAAGGTACGAGCAGAGCACGTACGCTGCTCCTCTTCAACACACACACACACACACACACACACACACACACACACACACACACACACACACACACACACACACACACACACACACACACACACACACACACACACACACACACAGTGTCTCTGCTGCACTGTATCTTCTCAACACACTGTGTGCTGGAGTTTCCTTCTGTCCACTGTTAGTTTTGGCATTTGACTCTGATGTGGATTGATTCTTAGTCTTTAATTGAAATGTAGGTTTAGTGACATTTAAGTCAGCAACATTATTAAATGTCTAAGGTCACATGATATTCCAGCTCTGCAGTCCTCCTCAGCTCTTCTGAGCGCTTGAGCATCTTTTTAAAGGTTGATTTGGTTTTACGACCTCAACATTCTCTGCTTCATCATCCCAATACATTTTGACACAAAATGCTTCAATCAGGTTCAAAGGGATAAAGTGATATTCATCAGATGGATTACTCATCTCTTTTCAAGTCAACACACCCCTGGTGGTTTTTGGAGCCTAATTAAGATAAGAAAGGGTATTCCTTCCAGGAGATGACCCTCACTTCTTCAGTGAGGCGGGGGGGGGGGGGAAGGGGGTTGTCTGTAGCCCTAACCAATCAGACACGCTATCAGGGCTGGGCTGGGTAAGGGTTGACATCATGCCGTACCCGGAAGAATCAAATGGACAATGACGTATCTCCAACGAGGCGTTTTGGGGAAGTTTTTTCTGTGTTAGAGTTTTACTCGCTATAGGCTGTACTTTGAGGGTTTTGACTCTGCACACCGTTTACATGCATAAAAACCTTCATAACACACAAGGGGACGGGTAATAACCGGAAAAGCATGACACCTCTCCTTTAACACCGCAGTGCGTGGTGGAGTCACGAACTTTGCTACATTTACGTGTCTGCACCACGCAAACAACCCCAATGTAAAGTGAATGAGGCTCCTTTGTCGTGGTGCACACACGCATTTCTACAACGTCCAGCAGTGAGCTTTTATTCTATAAAACGTTTTTAAAATCTACTTTATAGCTTGTAGTAACTCACGGGAGGCTTCTTTTATTTTATTTGTATTCATAATAATTTTTATTTTTCGTCAGAATGTATTATGGTGCATTATTTACCAATTTTTGTTCTCAAAAAACAGTGCATTGTGTGTAATACAACTGTGATTTTTATTAAATTAGTTAGTTTTTAAGGAAGGCCAGAGCTTCAGCTGTGTCAAATAGATTGTTCCCTTTAGTTAACGTTATTTAAAAGATAATTATATTCCTATTTGATCATGTCCCCTTTATTGTATTACGGACGCAGAGAGCAATGTGAGCGTCCATTCCCATTGGATAACGGAGGATTTTACACCCGGAAGTAAGTATTCTCCTTACTGTCGATTGATTTTACAGTGATATCTGCACTACTCATCAACTCAAAAACACCAGATTATCCTTGTTAATTACACAACATTGATTGGTTTAAATTGTGTACAATGCTTTTGTAATTTTCCCCTTCGATTTGGAGAAACAAATATTTGTTCAGAGTTTAGGATGGCCGAAGACACTACACTACCCAGAATCCTCAGCTATTCCGCTTTGCCTCAAGCTCTGTGATTGGTTCTGAAAAACGTTTCGTAAAAGATAAAATCATACTTTATTCAGGAGTGCTTGCTTTACTCTTTGAAAGTCATCACATGAATGCATTGTAATAAATGGTTCGGCTGCATTAAATATTACACATCTGTCGTAGTTCTTTATTTATCTACAGAGATCGGGCTTCAGAATAGACCGGAAACTATTCTTTTACCGTTCTGTTTTAATTTCACAATAAAGTTAGTAGTAATAATTTGTTTTGATATTATTGTTTTTTATTAACTACTAGACCGCTGGGTCATGTTAAGACCATCTTTTCTGTGTTGCTGTGGGTTTTTTCCATCGCTTTTGTGTTACAAATATCAAAACAATAACAGAATATATCCGTCGTAAACTAAACCAGAAACAGCAGTATATTTTATTTTGTTAACACTGTAAACTTGACAGCTTTTTAACCCGCACCTCCTACTGGTTAAAGCACGTTATTACACGTTTAGAGTAATGCAATGCAGGTAGATTGTGTTGCTTTTTAATGACTGTTTTAAAATGCCTTTTTCTTAATGTCTTTCATTTTTGTAAAGCACTTTTGAATGTGTTATATTTGATGAAAACATTTAAATATTAAGAGTACATACTCTTAATATAGTGGG